TGGTCGGGGAATAAACAAAGCGTACTTATACGAGGTCGAAAGGAGTCAACATTTGTGGCGCTTGTTCGACACCATAAGTGGTTGGTTAGCTCATTGATCACATCCTACATTCCTACAAAATCCCACTACCTCCGCAGTCCTAGGTCAACTGCAAGGAAGTGGTTCCAAATAACCATACGTTTCACACATTCTAAGGAATTTTTCGGCTGTCGTTCTGAAATCGGTTTTGAGACGACCATCACGGCCGTAGTTTACTTGACTTACCACTGTATTGACTACTTGAACATGACAAGTTAAGTAGTAAGTTGGTTATATATATACACTTGCCACGCTGTTGCATTTTTCTCTCTCTCTCTTTTCTCCCTTTTCAGAACCCTATTCACAGTGCGAAATCCATGGCGCCTCTAGGGAACATGCACCCTATGTTCCAATTGACCTTTCCCAACAAATTCACTATTGATCTCAGCAAACCGCCCAAGAAACCTACTGTACACCTTCCCTATTTGTACTCTCCTGTTAAAAATGCCGCTGTATCATAGTGTTTCTGTCAGTGACTTGGTGTAAATATGCTTTCAGAAACTGACTCATACCTAATTTAACTGCGATAACTTTTACAGTAAATGTGAAAGCATTTGTGACAATATGATCTGGCCTGTAAACTAGCATGCCTCTTGTAACGTAGTTATTTGAGAATAAATATTATGATTATTACATGTTTGACCAGTGAGTTTCCATTCACTTTGAACTTTATAGGTGGTTATGAAGAGTACTGTCACTTTATAACTCAGTAACAAAGAGCTACGAGTGGGCGCCCCTATGGCTGCACACATCCGTTACCTTCTAAAGTGGTCAGCTGTTCAGTATTCCTTTGACCTTGGCCTCAAAGAATTGCAAATTTTCATCAATTAATACATTTTGAAGTAAAAACATCCTCAGAATTCGTTTGAGTGACTTTATAAGGTACTAATAAGCTCAGCCTCCACGACTTCTCCCGGATGTCTTAAAAAGCCAGTCATATTCCCGATCTTTCAGGGTGTTTATCATTTTGCCTCAATAGAATGAACTTCATCACGTTAGCAGATTACCTCTAAAATTCAAATTATTATCGCCAAAAGGCGCCCGATGATTCTTCTGTCAACAGGCCATGATAATCCCTTCTTTGTCTCCAGAATATATCATGTCATTATAAACGACTCTGATAGGAAGAAAGACAAACAAGAAGCCGTAATGCCCCACGAGGTTTTTCCCACCATTGGTCTAGAATGACCTAAAACAACAGTTATGCTGTACATCACTGACGAGACGACGAAAGTTATCTATCCCATACACACTGGTTCAGAGGTTATCGTCTTTCTAATGAACGCAAGTCATCGTAAACAGGATTCAGCTTTCAGTTTGGAGGTTATGACGCGGCAAACGAGTCGCAGCCTACGAAAATAGGTGAGTTTACTTTAATTTAGGTTAATGAGTACATATTCACTGGGTTTACACCACTGCAAATAATTGGCATAAACCTACTACAGTAAAACGATCTACCAGTCGACCAATGATGGATTTAGCGATTAGTGGACAATCAAACAGCCAGAGGGCATCTGTGTTGCATATATATTTCCTCTAAAATAGTACAGCAATAATTGACGTCTAATCAATAGTTATCGACAACCGAATATGAACAACATACATGGTCGTCACCCATAGACTTATACGAACATTTTGACAGCTACATTAAGAGGCATAAATTTATTTTCTCAAAATTATCCTGAGTAAGGTGTATAACCGAAACTCCAAGCTGTCGAAGGCATTTGTAAAAAGACTACTATCGCTCCTTTAGGAACTTGCGAGTTTTGTGTATACATTTCAAGTACATTACTGATAAAACAGCAGACTTCAATTGCTTTACTACCGATGAAATGATCAACTGAGTGGTTAGTTGATATCCAATAGAAAACAATCCGTGAAAAACTATTGGAACCATTACATGGTTTTAATTTGCAGCAGCTAACGACGCAACCTAATGTCACTAAACTAGTTTAGGTAATCCTCGGACTATAATGAACCCAAAGGTGTATTTTTATACTGACTTCTTTCAGAAATTCCGCGAATTCCACACGACCAACTTCTACTAAAAACTCCGCCAGTAGAACCTTCGGGGCTACTGCCGGTCCCAAGCCCGGATAAAGGAGGAGGGTTGGACATGGGGTTGGCGACCCCATTCCGTCAAAAACTAACTTGCCAAAAAAGCGCTAACCAGAAAAAATAATTCAAACCATTTTAGCTCTGCCCTGGGAGTTGGAAGAAGAATTATGACGTCGCGTGATGAAAGCCGGGTTCCCTCGGAAGTCACGGGGCTGATGCCTCTTCTGACAACCAGAGCAACCATTTTTTTAGGTACATGGAACGTTCGTACATTGTGGGAGACTGGAAGACTATTTCAAGTTGAGGCAGAAATGAGAAGATACAACCTCGAGGTGCTTGGAATCAGTGACACACATTGGACACAAGTAGGACAACTGAGACTATCTTCAGGGGAACTGCTGTTATACTCTGGTCATGAAGAGGAAAACGCTTCACATACACAAGGAGTTGCACTGATGCTGTCCAAACATGCACAAAAGGCACTGATAGGATGGGAATCTCATGGACCCAGGATCATTAAAGCATCCTTCAAAACAAAGAAAGAGGACATTACAATGAACGTCATCCAATGTTATGCACCTACCAATGACTACAATGACGACGTTTAAGATCAATTCTACGAAAGGCTGCAGTCAATCGTCGAAAAATGTTCACCAAAGGATTTGACGATTCTTATGGGAGACCTGAATGCCAAGGTTGGAATGGACAACACTGGATATGAAGACATCATGGGACGACATGGACTGGGAGAAAGAAACGAAAACGGTGAGAGATTTGCAAACCTATATGCCTTCAACAAACTGGTCATCGGTGGCACAATATTCCCACACAAACGCATACACAAAGCTACATGGATTTCACCGGTTCACACTACTCAAAACCAGATTGATCATATCTGTATCAACAAAACGTTCAGAAGGACTATGGAGGATGTGAGAACCAGGAGAGGAGCTGATGTAGCCTCAGATCACCATTTGCTAATCGCCAAAATGAAACTGAAACTAAAGAAGCACTGGACAACGGGACAGACAACATCACAGAAGTTTAATACGGCCTTTCTTCGGTATACTGTAAAGCTCAACGAATTCAGGATAGCCCTCACCAATAGGTTACAGGCCTTTCAGGATCTACGCAATGGAGAGGACGCAACACTGGAGAACATTTTTAAAGGGATTAAGGAGGCAATCACTTCAACATGTGAGGAGGTCCTTGGTCGCAAGAAGCACCATCACAAGGAATGGATCTCTGTTGATGCTCTTGCAAAAATTGAAGAAAGGAGGAACAAGAAAGCAGCAATCAATGTCAGCCGGACAAGAGCAGAGAAAGTTACCGCACAAGCTGCATACACAAGCAAACAGGGAAGTGAAGAAGAGCATCAGAGCTGACAAACGAAAATATGTGGAAGATCTAGCAATGACGGCGGAAAAGGCTGCAAGAGAAGGAAACTTGAGACAATTGTACGAAACTACAAAGAAGCTCGCCGGGAACTATCGTAAACCAGAACGACCAGTGAAAAGCAAGGAAGGCAAAGTAATCAGCAACACTGACGAACAGCGAAATAGGTGGGTGGAGCACTTTAAGGAACTATTGAATCGACCAGCTCCACTGAACCCACCCAACATCGAAGCAGCATCCACGGACCTCCCAATTAATATTGGCGCACCTACGATTGAGGAGATCAGTATGGCCATCAGCAGGACCAGACAACATTCCAGCAGAGGCAATGAAAGCAGATGTAGAAGCAACTGCGAAACTATTTCACATCCTCTTCAAGAAGATTTGGGATCAGGAACATGTACCATCAGATTGGAAAGAAGGATACCTGATCAAAATACCGAAGAAAGGCGATCTCAGCAAGTGTGAGAACTACAGAGGCATCACTCTTCTTTCAATACCAGGCAAAGTCTTCAACAGGGTATTGTTAAACAAAATGAAGGACTTCGTAGACGCCCAACTTCGAGATCAACAGGCCGGATTTCGTAAGGATCGATCATGTACTGACCAAATTGCTACATTGTGGAACAATCAATTGAATGGAACTCACCACTCTACATCAACTTGATCGACTACGAGAAAGCATTCGATAGCATGGATAGGAAAACACTGTGGAGGCTTCTTCGACACTACGGTGTGCCTGAGAAAACAGTTAACATCAGACGGAATTGTTATGACGGATTCAACTGCAAAATCGTGCACGGAGGACAGCCACCGACTCTTTCGAGGTGAAGACCGGTGTGAGGCAAGGTTGCTTACTCTCACCCTTTCTCTTTCTCCTGGTGATTTAGCCTGAAAGATAAGTGCCCTTTCTTAGAAGCGGATTGGTATATCTCAGAGAACACAGCGTGAAAGTAAAAAGTCCAAAAACTAATCGTTTCTCAGTGTTACGGCGTTTCTCATCATGTAAATAATTCTGAAAACCTATTTGAAGATGCCTTTACTTTACGGACTGATACGCTGAATGGAAACTAAGGAGAACAGAGTAAAATACTGGAGATTAATGGACATAAATCTCTAAATTTGTGCCACTGAAACAAAAATCTGCCGACCTTGAAACATTATATAAAATAGGTAATCATATAGATAACAAGTACATTTATGACACATAAAACAGGAAGAAAAATGAGACAGCAATTCTCCTCAGTTTCTGCGTTGTTTCTGGAACGGATTATCGGATATTATCGAGGTTTTGTTAAAACGCATCGCAAATAGATACTCTTCGATGACCTTAGGTAACCTAAGTTTGCCGCAGTGATTAAATATTTTGGCTTGCTTGGAGTTTCTGGCATGTAGACTCGTTTTGTAAGACAATATTATTTTCTAATTATTTGCATACTTTCAGTTTTTGATTTATTTCTGTAACTTAAATTTTTGTAATAAACATAATTTCTACATCTCAACTTTGTTTCTGCTTATTTAATAACTTTATTAGTGATGGCAATAAGCCCAGAATCAAACTTCGATTTGAAAACAGATCCTGAAAGCGCATCCTTTTCTGATTCTGGCGTAAGCAGCAGTTTCTCTTCAAAAACTAATGCGAGTGCCTCTGTTTCAATCATACCCTCGCCTCCTTTATCTGGTTTTCCTGGATGCATAGATTCAAATGGTTCCCCATCAATTGATCAGTCATATCTAAATTTTTCTAATAAAACGTACCCAGGTTTTTCGGACTGTAGCAATTTACCTATGTCTGCTAATCATCCATATCCAGTGCCGTCCAGGCATTCCTTTCCCCAGAGTTTTTTACCTAGTCCACCATCAGCCTATGCTTCAAGTTACAATTCTTCACATGGTATTTCAAATTCATTTTATCAACGTCAAGTTCCGTCTACTCCCTGTTCAGCTCCCAATAGCAACTTCGGTTTGCCACAAATATTTCCCCAGGATATGTTACAAAATTCCATGCTTGTTAACAGGGATCAACACAACGGTTCAGTTGGTTCTCTAGACAGTCATTTCTCCCAACATCGTGATCATGGACAGTTTCCATATTCTGACCCGTTTCATTCTTCCGATTTGCGTCCTCTTCACATCACTACCTCACCTCGTCAGTTAGGTCCCCACAACAGCCATACTACTTTGGGTGATGTAACCTGTACAGATTCCGTCGGAAAGATTTCACCCCGAGATTCACCCAATGGCCTACCCGATCATTCTATCACACCTTGTGGAACAGTCAGTTCTGGCCCTGGATCACTGGTTAACTGTAGACCATCTAGAATCGTAGAAAGAGGTTCTGAAGTATCTGCTGCCGACAGTAATTCTAACGTTGGGTCCATAAAAGCAACATTCACCCCTTGCAAAGTTTGTGGTGACAAAGCAAGTGGCTATCATTATGGTGTGATTTCCTGTGAGGGTTGCAAAGTAAGTGTGTTCATATAAATCCCCTTTTCAAATTATATATATTTTTCTATGCGTCCACTTTTTTAACTTGTCAAAGGATTAAATCCAAGTTACTAGATTTTTTAAAGTTAAACCCATGCTTGATTATGTAGAGGCCTTTAATGATCTAAAAGTAATTAAACTTGGATCATCAGCATCCACCTAGGTCTACATGGATCTTTTCACAGAATTATTCTTGACATGACACCTAAAACCATTCATTGTCGATTAACAATTTTTAGTGAATGCTATTGTCACAATCACCCTAATCTCGTTGTGAGGCACTAGTTTTTGAAATTAAAATCGTATATTTTTATCGACATCATTTTAAATGTAAGGCAGAAAACTCAAGCTAGACGAGAACTAGTGAGCGTAAATTTTTGGTTTATAGTGTGAAATATGATTACTTTTGGCGCATGTCTAGCTGTAGGCATACGGCTTAAGACAGCTGTTGTAAGGATTTTCAGATATTCTTGAACTGTGCTATTATTCGTACCTATTAAAAGTAGACGCTTTGTATAACAAGCTTGTTTAGCCTGACATATTAAGATATATAGCCTTATATTTGATGTATTTTGCGATGTCATATGCTTAAAAGATTATAAGAATATATCGAGTAACTAAACAGTTCACTGAATAACTGGATTAGTGTTCTTCAGGCTACGTAACCGTTGTCTAGAAAAGTATTTCCCATAGATAATTGTAGTCATTAGTCCTTAGAAGCTTATGGATAAACTTTTTGAGATGATAGAAAAAATTTGTATCATATCTCCGAAAACTTCAGATAACATAGTTTCACGTTATGCTTTATTTTTACCTTTCCATTTATCGAAAACAATAACATTTATTTATGCTCAGTCCATTGCCATATTTTTTGTAACATGAACCTTCAAACTAACTTGACTGAAATCCTTACTTGAAGGTTATGTTCATACTATAAGTTAATCTGTTTGGTTGTTTGAAGTGCGAAAGTTCATTTTATTTTTCCATATTACTCTTGAGAAATGGTGGTATGGTTTAAATTTTCATGACGTTAAATACTTTAGCTGGTTTGTCCCGAGTTCTGTTTTATAACCAATCTGTTCAGCTGTATACCATACCTCCAGGAGATTTTGCATGATAGAGAATGTTTCTGTGCAAAACAGTATGGGATTTTTGTAAAGACCCATTGTATAATGCTATTGGGAACGAGATGTAAACAGAGATAATATAAATTGTATTTGTGTCAAAATCAGTTTTGACTGTCTCTACGGAACGTAAAATTTGACACTACGATCACCAGCAACTCAATGCTTATCTGTATTTGACAGCATCTCAAGGCACTAAGTCTCATCATCCTTACGACCCAGTATAGAAAAGCTCAATAAACTAACAAATGATGGTGAAATATAGTTGTCCATCACTCCACATATCAAGAACCAACTACTTCTTCCACCTAGTTCCCTCAAAAAATAGTATTTTCCATGAACTTGTCAACTACATACTAAATGAATAGCTGGCCTAAAATCTAGCTCAGATTGACAATTGATCTAGTTACCAGATGCTGTTAATTTGCTTGCGTACATTCGTTTAATGGTATATATTTACTTCTCAACAATACATGAAACTATTTTGGCATACAGTAAAATATGATCAAAATCGATAAATTCTTCGGTTTTATCCTTGAAAACGCCTGGTACTCACAAAGTATTCTTAAGAAGCACTTTCTATATTATCGTCTTAATTATTTTTTGAAATTCTTTCTCGTTTTATGTATAGGTATAGTCTGTTCTTGTATAAACTTTATGTTTCATATAATCTCATACGAGAAAAATGAATATTCTGTAATTACTTCTAAACCGATTGGTATTTTTCGAAACTGCTTTCATTGTTTGCCAATAATCTATAGTAATTCACAAGTTAATCGCTTGATTTCGAAAAAATATCCACTAATATTTTATCGTTATCATTTAACAAATGTACTACTCAATTCTGTTCACCAACTTATTTGATATCACTCTAAGTAAACACCAATGGAAATGAATAAATAATATGCATTTAACCACATTTTTCGTTAACAGTATTGATTGTAAAATGTAACTTAATTGTAAGTAATACTCAAACATTATTTTCCCATCCACACTCGCAAACACATACATCTGAATTAAGAAAATGTTGGTTAATTGTGTAAAATAACAAATTAAATAGTTAAATTTGGCAAGTGATTATCCCATAGTCAATTATCTCATTTCAATGAATAATTCAATGTTCATTTCATTTCCAAGTTTATTTATATTAATAATATCTTACTTACTTTACCGAAAGAACTTTATCTAAAATATGTATGGTTAAATGCTAGCTCAATTATAATCTCATTTTAGAAATATTAATTATTATTATTATTTTATGATTACTTTGGTCATTTTACAATGATTTCAGCCAAAAAGTAAACTACAATTCCTTTCATTATATTAATTACATCTAATATACAATATTTTGCAGTACTATTTGGCTCTCAAAGTCATAATGAGTAAATTCGAGGCTGTGGTGATAAAAGAAAAACAATATTGTGCTTTTACTACTGCACTGAATGCTGACTTCTACAATAACGTGATAGAAAAAAAGTTTGCGAGAAGCAAATAAATCTCAATTATTATCGTGGGTGATTTATGAAAATGGTTGAATCCTGTTGTTTACATCACCAAATGACCTTAGATAACAACTCAAAACCAAGAAGCACCGTTTGCATTAATATGTAACTCCCTAGCGGTGTACACCCATAGTCCCAACAGGGACCATACACGGAACCTAGAGGTCTTGCTATAAGCTGTTAACACTTGGGCACCGAGTCAGCATCCAGTGGTTTATATACCTAATATCATTTAACTTATAACACTGTACAACCATCTTTCACTGGCTGTGATGGATCACTTTTCCGCACTGGATGTGATTAAACTTCACCTGTTATAACTTTTCTCTAGAATCTTCCAAATTGGCAGTGAATGAAAGCTACTGCATAGGCTCATACTAAGATAAAACATTTTTCCATTGTTTACTAGTTGTTTATCTAAAGTTAGTCAGTAATGTAAACTGTAAAAATCTTAATTAGTTGTCTAGTTAAATTCTTTAATATTATCTATTGTCTGATGATAGTATATGCTTGTTCATTTAACACTTTCAGTTCAACTAATGGATTTACACACTAGTCTTAATTAAGAATGAAACTTTTTTTACTTTACTTTAATTAATTTACCGATATGTTCAGAATGTTTTAATGAAAAAAGATATTGTAGTTTTCATTGAAATCACTGTCAATAATCAGTTATTATTTTAATCCAACAGAAAATCTTAAATTCTTCGTCAAGAATAAATTTTCTAAAAATAAATTATTTACATTTACCTGGTCTTTTTTTTCTTGATATTAGTATTTTTATCTAATTATAATGCACAGTATTTTGAAATATCTTACATTGATTTACTCATATTTTCAACTAATTTTACGATTTTCATTGTTATAGATTCAAGTGTAATTTGTTTTTAAATAGTTATATACATCGTAAGTTTTAATCCTAGAATATAAATCCATAAAATTTCAAGACTAACGTTAAAAATTATTCTTGTTTTAAATAGAGTGTTAAGATATATTCAAATGTTTAGATTATTAAAATGAAACCAATTAATTTGATAAATTTTGTAGACGGTGAAATTTCAAGGTCATTTTGTTGTAAACTTTCTGCTTAATATTTTGTTATAGCTTAAACGACTGGATAGTTTTCTTCAATTTATAATGTCACATTTCATCTAGAATAATGTATGTACAGTTCTTTGTTTGAGGAAGTGTTTGTTAGTAGTGTCAGACAAATAAAAATTAACTAATACTTCACTGATAGCGTAGGCTAGAAACCCGTCTATTGACCGAGAAACTAGTTTACTGCTCAGCAGTTTGCTCTCTTCTACCTTGTAGATATGAAATATGCCCATTAAGAATAGAAGATAAGTAGGTTATACTGATACTCGATCATAAATGCCTTCGAAACACTGCTCGTGGATGTCGGCACCACCGAGACACAATACTGAGGTTAGGTATACGTAAATTGACTGATATGGTAATGAGTCTTCATCAGATAAGGTTCTTTGAGGCGTGCGTTACATACGTCCAACTATCATCTATCTCGACTTAAGAAGCCAGCTGGCTTACAAGGAATCTAGAAGCGATGGAAGTAATAAATGGTATCAGTCGATGTGGCGAATAACATTTGTACTGATCCATATAGGTAGGTAAAGACTGTTTGGTTAGGGTTCGTATGGTTATTGTAGCCAGCGGTTAGAGGTGCTGGGTGACATAGAACATAATCGTTGACAGTGGCGCGGTTGCATCCACTCATTCTCCTCCCTTAGATCTTAAGCTCCTGGTATTTGTTATCCTATGAACTCATTTTTTCTCCTCGCATCATTTTTTCTATTATTTATCGTTTCTGCCGCGATTGGTAATATCATTACTTCTACTACTCTGACACCTCGTTATGCTAATGCAGTTCAACAACTTGAACCAATGAACGCACTTGCCAGGTTCTACGTTCCGTGTAATTGATTGGCTAGAAAAATAGATTTTTTTTGCTATTCTAACATGATTTTGATGGTTTAGAATTATTAATTTTTTATACCAACCAACAGTTTTATACCAGCTGAACTCATATAAGCGGAAAACTATGACGAGTAAGATAAAAAAAAAAGCAGTTTTAATAATACCTGTTACAATATCGAATCACATCAGGAAAAAACTTGAAAATTCGTTTGGAAAATAGTGTTAGTTATAGGTATCTGAAATTTCAGGTTCAATAAATCGTGAATGCATCTAAACCACTACTATCACTTCCTACTGTAAACCATATCAATCTGAAGTTTCTAAATGTCTGTTAATGTTAGTCAACTACAACGCAGAGCTTCCTACTTACATGTATTAGTTCAAGTTGGCATGCCACATTAGCACAGAGAGACCGTAT